CATTTTCGTGAATGAATTAACCAGAAGACGAACTGCCACCGTAGGTATTGCATATCCGTTGAATATGTCGCGTATTTTAATTGTCAATCATGTCTCGCTCGAAATTCCTGTCATTGTTTCTTGGACATTTTTTTGAATGTTAAGTCCACTCTCTAAATTTTCTCGGGGTGAAAAGTCATTTTATTTCAAAGCAGCTTAACTGCAATTTTAATGTCGTCCTCCCGGTATATCATCATCCAGTAACGATTAAGTCCTTTTCTCTTTGGAGCCATGTCCACTATTACTAATACTTTTCTCAGCATTCGCACGCAGCTATATTCGCTAATTGCCGGCCGCACCATAGAAATAAACAGTTTCAGCATTTTCACCAAATGTGCTACAAGTTTTTTCGTATTATATTAAAAAAAACAGCCACACGGTGTTTTATATAACGGGCCGACCGGCCACTGAAATGCCGGTAAGACCGTTTTACGACGTTTCTCCAAGAAGTGTATACATAGGGTACAAGTGGCTGGAAGCGCCAGCGTTGCCGCAGTGACCAGCATTCTCAGCAACACTCGTGGTGTGGTCGAGGGCAGATCAAAATAGCATAGGACCGTGCAAGCTCGTGCAGCTCTGCTGCCTCCAACACGTCGCGGTGAACACAACGAGCTGCCACTCGACGCGTCGCTAACATGAACGGAGCACGCACGCAGACCTGCATTGCCGTTGTTCCAGTTATTGCGCTGAATTTTTACGTCTCACTTCAAATTTTAAATTAATATAAAATTAGCTAAATTAAAATTTTTATTGAAAGAATATTATCGTACCCACGCGTTGTTTCATATTCCATAATTATAGCTTTAATATGTTTTTTGCAACTTAAGTGAAATGCACAATTCATGAAAGGATGACAAAAAACTTTAAAAGGGGAAAGGTAAGCAGGAATAGGGTGAGGGCCATAGCGGCCGGTTGTTATCCCAATTTGAATGCCGAAGTAGCACATATGTGAACTATTAAATTATTTTCGTTCGGCGTTTCCTGCCCATGAGATTGCCCAATTCAAGATGAAATCCCAAACCATGATAAGATGAATTCAGATGTTGTTCGTTTCGTGAGACTTCAGGTACTCATACACTCACACATACATTCATGCACTCATCTAAGAGAAAACTCGCCCATCATAGTGATGCATGTAAGTCTTAGCTATATAATTGATTATAAATAGAAACGATCTGATCTATAGTGTACGCGATGTTTATTCACATTCAATGGTAGCGACAAGCATGCGGGCGCATCACCACTTCTGTAGTAACGAGCCGTGCGCTGAGGAACTCTCGGTGAGATGGAACTCAGAGCTGTGTTGAGAAAACTACATAAGTCGGCTCCGCACAAACCCATTTAGACAACATGGTGCGATATTCCAACATATTCCCACACAAACGTATTTAGACCACATTCCAGGAGACTGCCGCATATTCAAAGGGCTACATGTCTCTCAAATCTACTTCCATCAATCCAGCATAAATGAGAAAACAATGCAAAACTCAAATAAAACTTCGCTAGTACATTACTGCTTGGTTGCCAGTAAGTACGGAATACCTAAATATAAAACACGCATGCTCACGGCCTGTGGACGGAAGCGAGTTCATGAGGCGGTAAGGAACCACCATTTTCAGAGCAGTCGTCGCGGCGCGCAGCTCAGAGAGGGAGGGGAGTGGGTCCGGGGGAGAGGGAGGGACGCCCATCACAGGGAGTTGGACCGGGGGAGAGGGAGGGAACGACGCCCCATGTGGAAGGTGGAACGGGCGAAGAGGGAGGGACGCTCCATCACGGGGAAGGGGGCGGGAGGGTGTGGCAGCTGGGTTGGGGTAACGGCCGCCTGGCTATTGATTGCCAGAGAACAGGATCTCAGCCAGCTGCTGCTGCCGCTGCTGTCGCCGCGTTCGCTGATGTATTGACTGAATATACGGCTGATGCTACTGTTGATTATAATAATGCTGATGCCGATGATACTGATGTTGTGGCTGATGTTATTGCTGTCACTATAACGCTGTGCTATGGCCAGTCACTGCCGCCCCGCTAGTGAGCCTCCGCGCAGAAGCAACGGCAAGCGAGGATTCATTTGGGGCGAAGCTACAGGCAATCAGCAGGGCACTCCTGCACTGAGTACTGAAATATCCTGCACAGAATAGCAGCACGATATCCTGCACAGAATAGCAGCACGATATCCTGCACAGAATAGCAGCACGATATCCTGCACAGAATAGCAAGCAGAATAGCAACATGATGTTGCCGCGCAGAATAGCAACATGATGTTGCCGCGCAGAATAGCAACATGATACACTGACATCCGTGGCAACGCAGCTTTGGAACAATCTTTTGAAGTATGAAATGTTGCAATGATCAAAGTCATGTTGAATAAAATAAATTGTTATCAACAGCCACTTTGATGGTTCAATTAAATATTTGCTCGCGCCTGCATGAAACATTGTGTTCAGGTTTTGTTTGCCAAGAATAATTTTATGTTAGTTATTTGCATTGGAAATACTCCCTCCGAAACAAAACCTGTTCCTTAGTATTCGCATCAAGATCAGCCTACCATTGAAGTCAGGTACAAATTATAATAAACATCGTTCTGGCTTATATTATTTCGTTTTGAAATATATATTATACATTTCAAGAACGCACTCGTTTGATAAAGCGCGTTCTTAAATTATTCGGAGATCTTCTTGATCTTCTCTCTAAACTTTCAAATGCAGTTTTGTAACCCTAAACATTCGAACAATTTTGGGATCAAACAAAAGGAGGTACAAAAGATTCTCTCTTGGAGTGCCTGGTTAACGCTTAGTTATTTTTTTTTTATTTCCCAACTACAAGAAACTATAAAGATATAAAAATTGATTCATTTTTGCAATAAAAATTGGCACGTTGTTATACCGAGCAGCGACAGCAGGTGCACACCACTCCCTCTGTAAACCAGATTCGTAACTCATTAAGCTAACTTGATACCATTATTGATCCGCATTACATCATTGAGGATTCAAATAAGAAAAGGTTATGCATGGTATCAAATGAAAATCGCTTCATTGTCACGCATCTATTGTTGAAGAAAAAGCATGACATCATTCACATTAGCAAAGCATTCTAAATTAAGCTTGCTGAAAACGCATAGAGTTCCAAGTATCCGGTACCAGTACCACTACGACGTTCCGCACATCAAGCTGAGGTGCTTGTGAAAGTCTCAGTGCAATTCATTTCGGGCAACGAAAAATACATGTAAACCATAACAAAAATGTTATTTTCAATCCTAACGCACAAAAGCACATTGCTCGCTAATCAAGCTAAAGATTTGAAGATTATGTAATTTTTAACTTTACGGTGAAAAAATACTATATTAGAAGTAAGATAACGCAGGAATGCGAGCCGATATTCTTACACCCCGTATGAGCGATGTACAAGATTGCGGCGGATCAGAGACGTTATTGGAATAAACTTCTGAAGATTATCAGTGCGGTGCATGATCAAGAAGCTTATTACTTGTTTCGGGAGACGTGAACAGTAAATTACTATCATGCACCACAGAAAACAACTGAAAATCAAACAGCAACAGAAATTCAAATTTGCCACAGAAGTCATAAGTCTAAGACTTTAGGGTAACACCACGAAAATTGCTGGACTTGAATGCATGTGCCGGAAAATCACATTTTTCCTTGATCGTCAGGCTAAAGGTCAGAGTATCTTAGCATTGCAAGATGTTACACCACTTACACGAAGTGTGACGAAATGCACAGAAAAGCAGATTCAATCAAAAGGAACTCTTCGTGAGTGCTATTGATGGAATTGTGAAATCCGCGCTCTGAGTCCCTGATGCCCAATATTACTCCGGATGAGGAAGGCGAGTGAAGACGTAAGTATCGTACCCTCATCTTGAGATGAAGACGTCGTATACCCAAGGACCTCAGCACAATAAATACTATGATGCCGCCCACCCACCCCACGCCATCTCAAGCAGGCTTACCCTCCCCATGAAGGCATCATCGTTTCCACCTGCCACCCTCCCTCCCCGCCTCTCTCTCCGCTACAAGCGTGACGTCACTACACGTGCTACGGCACTGGCACATACACACGCACCCGCCCCACCCCTCCTCCACTCCTCGGTCGCATTCATTCACAAACGTGGCGGGGCTGCTGCAGCAGCAGCGTGCGCGTATCACAGCTACAACTCACTCTACTCTCAGCCGCCCGACCCTGGTCATGACGTCACTCTCATGCTTGCACCCGACATGTATGCCACTCGTTACACTGACACCGACTGACAATGAAACGTCGCGCGACGTTTCACAAGCGTATGCTCGATGTCTCGCGAGGTACACGACTGTGCATCTAACTGTCGTCAGCTCAACGTGACAATGCCCAAGTAGACGCAATAGTGGTAAACTAAAAGCAACATAATATGTGTAAAGGCTAACTCGTAGTTACGTAAAATGGGAGAAGGTAAACGCGACGTAACGTAGAATAGGCGAAAGCAAACGCGTACCGTGGCGTAACATAAAGCGAAAGCAAAATCATAGCGTGACGTAAGCAAGTACAAACTCGACGTAACGTAAAATGGGAGAAGGCAAATTGAATGCACATGGCACCTTGTTAAAACGCACGCGTCTTGCAGATGTCACACAACCCGATTTGAAATAATTCAAGACACTCGGCTGTACTTCGCGGCTATACGAATAAAAGATTGTCCCAACACAGATTCACGAAAACAAAATTTGTCAAACTGTGAAAATTCGTTGCACGTGAAAGAAGCACACAATGACCGCAAACGGTGACACACTTTTAGCACGTAGCACTGATACGCCCAGACCTTTAGCCAAACTGGGCCAAGATCGATGACCCACGAAAGGGCAAGCAGTGCATCGCTATCTGAACAAAGTCCCACTCATTTCTCTGCATGTAACAGCACCAATAACGTAGCCTGGGACTGCTACGTGTGCAACACTAGGAATACTACGGGTACTCACCGCATGTAGATTTGCTTGAGAGCCACAGACGAGTTCACGCACGCTGGTGGCAGTCGGAAATCTTCGAGGATTTCCTCCCACTCGTTGCGTGCGTTCACCTAAAGATGAAGTGAGTAGAAGCTTATTAGTGAGTACAGAGCGAGGCACTGCATTGTGAGTGCTGGTGAATAGTGAGGGGACGAATTTTTTTTCTTATTGGAACAAGAACTGCTGGTGTGCAGCAATGGTTGAGGCTGACAACACAAAGGTAATTTCAAACTTGTTGATTTCACGTTTGAACAAATTGCATTCTACCAGGTTTTCCTTACAGATAACAGGAGAATATAACAGGAGATGTCAGATGAAAACAAAAACAATCAATTGACAAGCAAACAGAGGAAAAAATATATATTTAATCCACCAAAACTCTGAATACCATAGCAACTTGTTCATTAGATTAGTTCTAATAACTAAAAATGAATTTATTCTGTTAAAATTCTCAGTAGGTACTCAAGTAAGTTAAGAGTTTGTCAACACAAATTCTCCTGATAAAACTTGGTATACATATATATAACAATATTTTCTTGAAGTATAACATTTCAGGTAAAAAAATGGGTAGGTAGAAATTGTAATAATTTATAAGTAGCCCAAATTAATTTTTCCAATCACAGCCAAATTATCTAACTAGGTACACCAAGTTACTGCAAAAAAATCATCAATTGCAAGAGGTAAAAAAATTCGGAAGTTTTTCACCATTAAAAGAAATTAATTACATATGTCCATTTTAAGATTAATTGTCTTATTAATTAATTTAATTAATTAATTCATTTATGGTTCTTTGAAGTCTTTGAAGAGTTACAACATTAAATATACAGCAGTACGGTACGGTACTAAAATGCAGGGAATGAAGACAATCATATGCATGATATATACTATAGTTCAAATGTAGGAGAATAATTCACACTTGCAAATCATACAATACCTTCTGCCATCCTCCTCTGGCTGTCACAACCACATACAGCAGGTACAGGTCCACGCCCTTGCCATTGATTCGAGGCAACCGCTTGAAGGGGGTACTGCAACAAGAAATAAATATTCCAATCTTATTCCATGTGCTTCAGAATAAAATGTTGTTACATGTGTTAGATGATAAGGTCTGATGAATACATTGTAGTATTCTATGATAAATAAATTTTTTAGCCAATAATTCAAAGCTATGACATAAACTAGCCTGCCAGAAATTTCAATGCTATTCCATGTGCCAGAAAACAATCAAGTGTCATGAATACTTAGTAATATTCAATATTAAAGCAAAACAAATCAAATAAACCAGCCTACTAAAAATTCCTGGATTAGAAGTGAACAATACAACAGAAGATCATGGGATCAGCTCATGGGTAATAACTGAAGATAAGATCATGGGTTATAACTGATCTCTTGCATCATTCTTCATCATGGATGTTTGTGTGGTCATCATTAAAAGCCCTAATCTATTTCAGCACCATTCCATCAAGAACTTTCATCAAAAGCTTCACTGATTTGCCAATGAATGTCAACTGATATGAAGCCTTGAGCACAAAATAATGCAGCACTTTGCAGTCAGCAGGATTCTCAAAAGAAGGAATCATTTAAATTAACATAAACTGTTGTGGCCTTGATTGGATGGTTATGTCAATGTGTCTGCAGCTTCTCAAATGATTTAACTATGCAGCAGACATGCGCAAAATGTCAATAGCAACGCTGCAGCAGCGTAATTCAAAAACAGTTCTACTCTCAAAATAAGTCTCGTTTTTCTATTCATTTAATTAATAACACAAATGAGATTTTAAATGTGCAATAATTTCAATCAACTGAGACTGCACTTTATAGTGCAATATTCATAATGAACAACTATTTTAATACAATATCTTTCAAATATTGAGAAGAGAGTTGTAGTGCATGGCCAGAAACTTTGCATTTCAATGAATGATTATAATAGCAAATGCCACACATCTTATATGTATGTGATGTGAAATTAGAAGCAAGTTAATATTTTTGTGACGAACCCATCTTTCAAGCCCAATACCACTGAACTATGGTTCACATTCCAGGCAACTCACTTATGGTTGAGAAGCCTAGCGTTTGATATGTGGCTCACTACAAGTGAACAATGTGAACTAGCTAGTTTATTTGTATGTATATACCGGTGTATATAGTTTTTATTTATATAAATATGTCTAGAGCTGGTTAATTTGTATATATTTGTAAATGTATATTTAGTAACTGAGGCTGAGGTGTGTATATCTGGACTGATAATAAACATAGAACAAAGGTTGCCACTACCACAATATTTGGGTACCTTGTATATAAATATGGTCATCAAAGTTAAATAGATGAAATACCATAGCTACCATAGGAGCATTCAATCATTAGTTTCTCAAAAAAGAATCCCAAGTCATAACCAAATTGAAAGGTACTAATTATCAAGCAACATTTGGTTGCAACATGTAATTTATTTTGATTGCTCATGTAATTTAAGAAAGTTACATATCAACAAGAATTTACAAGTAACAAACAGGGTTGGATGACCTGAATGTAAGCTTCAACTTAGCCAAAATATTTTCATTAAACATGTTACCATCAATTGGGGATACTTCAGCCAACAGGGGTGACTTCAGCCACCACTACAACAGAAACAAATGGCAGTAAAACAAAATAATAAACGTTGTTCAAAGTGATTGGGGTGACTTTGGGAAACATTCATTATTTTGTTTTGCTGCCACTTGTTTCTGTTGTAGTGGTGGCCTAAGTCACCCTTGGACCTGGTGGCCAAAGTAGCCCCACTTGATGGTATTCAGTTTCATTAATATTTAGTAAGCAATCCACCATCATATAATTCTACCAGACATGGTGGAAACACAGTTGTTCATGTTGTTCATGTTCACACATTCCAATTTCTAGCACTGCTTCAAGATCAGTTTCTAGCATGAAGAGCAGAGATTGCAGGAAGGGTGATATATAAGTGAAACCGTGTGACTTGGACCAATGATGGGAAGATGTGGACCATTTTGACATATAAGAAAAGAAAACCCTATGCTTAAAAAGTTCTTAACCTAGGAAAATTGTGTTAATGGCTCTCAAAATACCACAAGACACCCTACAAATGCAATAACAATATATATTTAATAGTTAATACATTTAACATGTGGCTATTTGTATCACAAAGAGTGTTTATATATTTGTATATATATTTGACCACTAAAAATGGTCAAAGTCACCCTATCAATGGTTCAAGTTACCTTGTTTAATGCACTCAGTCAACATTATATATGAAAAAGTACACATATATTACATCAAAATACCAGGGAACTGGGGCTACTTTTTATAGGTCAGCTACCCTAAGGATCAAGCAAGGAACCCCAATGGATTGATACAAGACTATATGTCAGCTCTCATAGTGATGTAATTATAAACAATGCAGATATTTACCAAACAAATAACAACCAACAAGAGACATTATGAGACCTAAGACTCATCATAGAACAATGAGATGATAGAAAAAAAATCTTCAAGTTAGAGCAATATTCTGGCAAAATGGTGTTTGAGTTACCACAATATTTTAAAGATATGGTTAACAGTTAAACAATAGAATTGTTAGTATTGTCATACATTGTTCTATAACTTCTATTGTTCAAATAATGCTTTCACAATTACTATCATTAGTACCAACAAATTAATTCTTGCCTTTAAATTTTAACAACAAATTAGCTATCTCAACTGTTTTCATGACATTCACTGCTAACAGTGACTAGGTACTGACTAACACTATAAACTTTGTTTTTTGACCATTACCCAGAAATTTATGGGTTGAGATTTCAAAAAAGTTGCCAATATAGCCTAGTATGAAAACAACAGGAGCAAGAAACACCTTTCAAGTTTACAACTACCTAGGCTGTAAGGCTGAGTTCTAAACTTCTAAGTACCTACAAAATTTGTCAACATTAAATATTTGTAATTTCATTTAATATAAGAGTATGAAAAGCAATAACTCGAAAAGTTAATAAAATGTTAGGAATTCAGTAGAATATTGTTGTAAACATCGCCGATCAAAGCAGAAGGAAATGCCAAGCTAACACATCGAGCAACCAGCTGCGGCTGCTGCAGGTCTCAACGTTCTTATATTAAAATTACATCGAATTCAAATGAAACATTCAGACCTAGCAATATTACAACATAATCAGGTACAAAAATATACACACAGAAACAGTGAAAACGTTAGCAATAATGTGGTTTTACGTTCCTAATGTAGCGTGTTGAGAGTTCGAGAACGCGCGCCAACAGCTCAGCAACGCAAATGGTCGCCTCCATCACCTCAGATGTGTGAGGCAAATGTAACATCAAAAAATGCGGAACTGTGAGAAATGCGATAATGTTTTAGTCAGAGAACATTCTAAAAATTGATATAGTTGCCGAAAATTAGAAGAAACGGAAGCGCGAGGTGCACCAAATCATTTTTACACGAAGATTTCACCGCGGATTAGTAAGCGTGAACTCACCCTCGTTGTTGATGGAATTCGTTCAGCTTTTTGAGAAAAGCATCATATTCCTTATCATAAGCTTCTGTTTCACTGGAGTTGTCTTTCGACATTTTGCAACTATAATAAACCGTAGCCTACATTAACTCCAAAGTAGCACCCAATAGGCGGGTGAACTCAAAAGTACGATTTGATCACTTGTGAGCGGGAACTGCTCCACACACACCGGCAGCCGTAGACTGTCTGAGCCACCAAGCGTTCCAACATTCTGTGAAGCCACTTTCTTACCCAATAAACATGTCACTAGCAATCAAATTTGCCAGGAGGGCCGTTTCTACGATTGCAGTAGAATCCGAACATTACAGATAATTTTTATTGCTCTACATTCGTTTTGTTTACATAATAAATTTGTGGAATGCATCATTTGTCGAGAGTGAAGTTGCGCCCTCTATGCTCGGAAGCCGCGCAGGCTCATAATATATATCGATTATAAAAGTTACAAACGAAATAAAAAATAAGCATTAACATCGGGAAGTTTATCTCCAAATTAGATTATTATTTTTCGCTCTTAAATAATCAAGAAGGAAACGGGAATATGAAAGTGTTGAACTTCGTCATCGCTTTGTCCTGCTCACAAAATGGCGGATGTTACCTACTTTGGTCTCGTAACGAAATAATGATTTAAAATAGCAAATCGGTCAAATTATAATTTTCGGGAATGTTTGAAGGCAAATCATAGAAAAATTTTGGAATGAACATTTATAACAGGCCGCGCGTTCAAAGGTTAGTTGACGGGGGACGCAGTATTCTGAGTGAAGGTTAGTGAGAAGAACCATTTCAGAAAGATTCGATCGGATGATTTCGCCCGGTAGGAGCTGAGCGATGTATTGTGGCGATGGGTCAAGGCGTCTACCGTTGCACCGTCGGTAACCATGCATGAAAAATATCTTCCACAATACAACTTCAAACAAAACGTTTCAATTATATTATCACTGATACGAAAATTCAATAATCATGATTAGTAACTTTTTTTGCCGAGGCGAGCCTCAATAATGGCTTCAGCTTTTGATCGGGACTCCTTACATAACTATTGGAAATATTTAGTCAGTGCAATGCATACAAATATCATATTCTTATCGTATTTCCTCATGCCTTTTCATATTGTTCCAGTTAATTTATACATATTCGATTACTTATATTGTCTAGAGAAATATTGATTAATCGAAAATTGTAATATTGTACCATTAATATTTTAATGTCAGTTTACATCGATATCGCTTACCCTCATCCCTCGCTTTCATTATTTATTGTTTTGAAATAAAAAATGTAAACACAACGACTGTAGGCGGTATAGACGATTTTTATTCATTTTTTATTTTATTTTTTTTTTAACTCCAAAGATAGACACCAAATTTGTTCATAGGCGATAATTCGTTACGAATTCGTGAAATTTCCGACAACAACTGCACGGAATTTATCATCTTAAATCATCATTTGATTTATCATTTCAATGTTTCGCCACTCCCCCATCACCACTCCCCCACTCACCACTGCCCCACTCACCACTCCCCCACTCACCACTCCCTCACCCTCATCACTACTATATCATCTCCTATTAACAATAAAAACTCTTCCCAATATACTATCCATACATATGATGAATTAATTCCCTGGACAACATATGTATATTACACACCACCAAGTCAATCAAATACACTAATAAAATACACTTATAATATACACTTATAAAATACTCTTATAAAATACACTTATAAAACACTCTTAGAAAATGCCCGTATAAAATACACTTTTTTAAATTTTATTCCGACGCCTATCGCTGATGCCGAATTCATTGACACATAATATTCTGTTCATTAAAATAATATTCTCAACAATATTGCTCCTTACCATGGATTTCATGAACTTTAGTTTCCTTTATTCTTTATTCACATCGGCATAAGAACGCGTAATTTTCTTGGGATGAAGACAAGATCCTATAATGGGATAAAGACAAGATCCTATAATGGGATAAAGACAAGATCCTACAATGGAATAAAGACAAGATCCTATAATGGGATGAAGGCAAGATCCTATAATGGGATAAAGACAAGATCCTATAATGGAATAAAGACAAGATCCTATAATGGGATAAAGACAAGATCCTATGCTGGATAAAGACAAGATCCTATAATGGGATAAAGACAAGATCCTATGATGGATAAAGACAAGATCCTATAATGGGATGAAGACAAGATCCTATAAGTGGATAAAGACAAGATCCTATAATGGGATAGAGACAAGATCCTATGATGGATAAAGACAAGATCCTATAATGGGATGAAGACAAGATCCTATAAGGGGATAAAGACAAGATCCTATAATGGGATAGAGACAATTGAGATCCTATAACGTGATAGAGACAAGATCCTGTAATGGGATAAAGACAAGATCCTATAATGGAATAAAGACAAGACCCTATAATGGAATAAAGACAAGATCCTATAATATGATAAAGACAAGATCTCATAATGTGATAAAGACAAGATCCTATAATGGGATAATGACAAGATCCTATAATGGGATGAAGACACGATCCTATAATGGGATAATGACAAGATCCTATGATGGGATAAATACAAGATCCTATAATGGGATAGAGACAAGATCCTATTATGGGACCAAGTTAAGATCCAATAATGGGATAAAGACAAGATCCTATAATGGAATAAAGACAAGATCCTATAATGGGACCAAGTTAAGATCCAGTAATGGGATAAAGACAAGATCCTATAATGGCTAAAGACAAGATCCTATAATGGATGAAGACAAGATCCCATAATGGGATAAAGACAAGATCCTATAATGGGATGAAGACAAGATCCTATAATGGGATTAAGACCAGATCCTATAATGGGATAAACACAAGATCTTATAATGGGATAAAGACAAGATGTTATAATGGGATAAAGACAAGCTCCTATAATGGGACAAAGTTAAGATCCAATAATGGGATAAAGACAAGATCCTATAATGGGATAAAGACAATATCCTATATTGGAATATAGATAAGATCTTATAATGGGATAAAGACAAGATCTTATAAAGATCCTATAATGGGATAAAGACCAGTTCCTATAATGGGATAAAGACAAGATCCTATAATGAGATAAAGACAATATCCTATAATGAGATAAAGACAAGAGGACGGCAAGTAACACATCCTAATAAACCTGGCTCCTATTAAGCTGATAATGGAACGTCAATAAAAGTAAAGCAAATAAAGTCAATATATCATCAATACACGGACAAAACATGATGCAACTGAAAACAACATGTCACAATAATAAAAATTTGCATCATAATCTGATTTAAATTGATGCATGTTCAAGAATAAAATAACAACATAATATTATCTTCAAAAAGAATTCAGAACATTATATTTTGAAATCATCCAGCAATTCATTAAAAATTTCCACACAAATAAAAATCTACGCTTTTCTATTTTTAAACGAACCGTAGAGCGTCCGCCTTTGTAATTATGGGAATGTTGAGGAACAGGAGGGTGAAGATTAGATATAATAGGTTTTTATCATGTAAAATTGCTTTATTCGTGCCTTATTCGTTCTTTATTCGTGCCTCATTAGCGTTTTATACGTGCCTTGTTCGTGCCTTTTTCGTGTCTCATTCGTGCCTTATTATTCTTGAGCTTTAAAAGCTGTCGTCAAGCTTTAATATTTTCCACTGCCTATATACACATAAGAAGTTCTTCAGCGGATCATTGTTGGCTTCGTATATACTAAACTCTAAGCACTGTACGCATAGACTTATTAATTTACCTAGTGACCAGTTTCTTTACATTAAAAGGTAGACCACGCCAGATTACTAACGTGTTTGATAATTCTGAAAAATGTAATGAGCAGAAAAACGTTTTTAATGAGCGAAATTGTAGGACACTTGATAAAGCATGCAAAATTATTAGCCCCTGACTGCCGCAGTAATTTATTGATTGAAATCTTGTTGTCAAAGATTTAAAACAAAATGTTTGAAATCATCGTCCCAATCTAAAATTTTACTTATGAAGGAGATGCCATATGAAACGCAAATGGATTTGGGAGTAGAAATGATCAACTTAATTTCATCTTAGTGCATCACTAAACAAAACAAGGAATGGGTCAAATTGTCTAAACAGTGATAAACTTCCTGCAAGTAACACTGATACGACCAAATATTAGCCATACTTGGTCTGCATGATCAACAAAAGAATAAAGAGTGGGTCAATATTAGGAGAAATTATCACTTATTTATCTGAGTCTATTTTGTCTTCTAAAAGTCACCATAATTCACCGCCTGCTCCAATGTAATAAATATTGCACACTTCATCGTAAGAATTTCTGCAGTCAAAATATGTCGCATCACTTCAACAACTCAGCACTTCAACATATACTCAACTCAACGCTGCAACATATACTCAACTCAACGCTGCAACATATACTCAACTCAACGCTATATAATATAATATACCATAATATAATATAATATAATATGATATATATTATTATATAGATTATTTTACTAGCCCCTCACACTCTCTTAATGTATTAATTAGATCATTTATAAGTAAAGGCTCTTATGTCCTTAATTAAAAGTGCAACAGATGAATCATTTCTCGAATAACTAATTTCTTGGCTAATTTCATGGCTTGAGTTTTGTATAAAAATTAAAATATGTATTATATGAATGGAAATGATTTAATCTGATCATTCCGACTTTCTCTTGACAAAAAGTTTCCTGTTGTTCAATCCCTAAAATATCACCAGAATTTATTTATTGCCCTATTCTAGAGAATTTATTATTTAGAGAATTTTATCATCGAATTTCTCCGATCTCACAATATTTCTATATTTTTACTGGAGCAGTTGAGTTTTATTTGATATAGAGTTTCGTAACACGCCATTTTAATGCTAAAATGGTTCACATGTGTTAAAAGATTTGATTGAACACTATATGAACCTTCAACTGTCCCGTTAGAACAGCCCACTATAAGTTTCTATATGCATGAACAACTTACTATTCATTCCATGTTCACATTACTCACATACACTTCTAATTACAAATAAACCCCCATACTATAATATATTTGCATGTATTTGCCCACCATACGCTACACTGTTCTCCTCCAATAGCATATTATATCTATTGTAAAATAAACTCGTACGGCCTCGAGTGTCTAATACTGATTCTGTTTTTTTTTAACATAAAGCGTGATTAATTGAAAATAGGAGCCCAACACGCAAAAATCTACCGAAATAAACTAAATTAAATTATTCTAAATGAAAATTTCACTTTACTCGTATAATGTTCGAATAATATATTTCTTTGAATTGAATGTTGAATGTATGTAAAAACACATCAAACAATTTTACCAGGCCATCAGTGTTCAAGATTTTCATGAGAAGTAATTCATCTAAATTATGTGGGACGTAATAAAACACAACTGCCATTTGTATGCTCGCCTTAATCCGGTGAACGTATACTTAATTTCATTAATAATGTTAACGACGTCATGGATGAAATTATTTACCATAATGTGTTGTGCACGCCTAAATTAGTGTGACCTGGTGATTTTTTTACAAGGATTATAGTCATTGTCCTGTAATTTCAATGCAAAATTTATAGCAGATTTTTAAGTAAAACGCAGAAGAGTTAACGCCTACGGAACAAATGTACGTGATTTTCATTGACATTTTTTGATAAGGACAAAGTATTGGTGAGATATTCCCACATAATCTCATACATATAATAATAATTTTTCGCTTGGTCGGTTGGGAGGGGTGAGGGTTGAAATAACCGCTATTGTTTGGAAACAATAAACGCTATATATGAAGAAAAAGTAAAATAAATTATACTGACCTGCACTATTATTGAAAAAAATTTGTCTCAATAAGTACCTTCATAACCAAAGCCAAATTCAGCGTATTGAAGTTCAGACCAACTGAAAAGATCATCCAGTGAGAATTAATACAGTGTGGGCCAAAAGTCACTGATCATTTTTATTACTTATTATCTTTTTTATTTCTTACTATTTATTATTTTGTTCAGATCGTGAAAATTAATTGTGGGAAAATTCAGTACCGTCCATCGTAAAAAATTGTAAAATTTTACTATTAAAATCAAAGATTAATATTTCAAATCCAAATGGCTTACCGAAGAGGGTATCTAAAGGAAAATGTTTATGCCAACAATTCGCACTCTTTAATGGAGCTAAAGGAAAATATCTCTAAAGAAATAAGAGAAATAAGCCCAGCTACTTTGGGAAAGTTTATGGCAGAGGTAATCGAAAGAGCTCAAATTTCAAAAGCTTAGTAAAGTAAATTTGTGATATTAATAAAATTAAATATGCGATAGAAAATAAATTTACATCGATTTGAAATAATGATACTAAAATTTCATGCATATAACTGTTGAAATAAAAAATTATTTAAAATTGAAATGGTTCAGTGACTTTTGGTCCGCCCTGTATAAATACGAGACCCACAATTGTGGCTCTGAAATATTTGTTAGAGGCTCAAAGCCGATTTGATATAAACTTCGATTTGCTTCAAATTATCGTTCGTCGTTTGCTTGGCATGTGACGCTAAGCTTGTATTAAGCAGCAATTGTGCATTGATTTCTTCGTAACCACGCATTAGCTGTAAAATATAAATAGTTGAGTAAATGGAATATTACGCACATTCTCCGCAGACTTCAGCGCATGTCGCTTGTTCGTCGCTCGCTTCGTTAAATCCCTAAATTTCGAAACCAAGAAACACGCGATAACTTATACCTTATTTGAAGATGAAGCAATACGAAAACAGAACAAAATGCGTAAGACGTACAAATGAACGCGTATTTGTTATCATTGTGTTTGTGATTAATATATCCTTGGCGATCTCCGTGATGCACAAGGCGAGCTTTAAACAAGTTTCGCCCGGATTCACTGTTTCTGGCAACGGAAGCACGTATCGTCTGAACCGCATACGGTGAGCTAAATTAGAGATGATGAAAACAACTCTGTCTCAAAAGAGCTAATATTCTTCATGCTACTTATTTCCTTTGAAACAAAACATTAAAACAAATCGCGTACTGTTTGTGTGGTACCACCGTGTTGTATGACGTAGCTTATTTATCGCTTAGTATTCATTGTCAATTGGTGGAACAATTCAATTCTAAATAATTTCAATATAAGCACCATCTAACTGCATGATTTTCCATCTGAGACAATTTAACTTCATGAGTTCGATATTTTAATCCCCTCCTCTTATAAATTTTTCATTAATAAATATTTGACTTAAAATTTACATCAAATAAATGCCAATAAAATTCTCCATATTTTCAATGCAAACGTTACGAAAACCAGCAACAGACACACAAAAAAAATTCTAAAATTATTCGAAAAATTAGCCGCTAAAATCAAATGCGGGCATCGATATTTACTCATTGATCCTTCATGATATTTCCAGCAGGCGATGGAGCTCGTAACCCGAAAAGCTTAGTGTGAAAAATTGTGTATTTTTTGACATATCATTCGACTTTAATTTCTGAATAATTCTGCAATTTAAATAAAAAATTTCATAATTATAGTCATTTACATAATCACTGTTGGGTGATATTTTTTTCCAATATATGAACAATAGTAATGCATGCATCCAGGTCTGAATTAGATGATTTTTCCTCGGTAGACCAATTGAATTGTCCGCTTCAATACCCGATGGAAGTTGTTAACAACAACATTTGTAGTGACTGAGTAAACACAAACATGAAAAGCCTTAGGCTGATTTTGCATTACAAAGTGAAGCTAATAAAAGAAATGATACGATTTCAATTCTTTGCCTGCCAGATCTTTATGCGGCATTAACTGATATACAATTGTACGGAGTAAAATAATAATTACATGCATTGAATGATGGTCTGCTTGATAACTGTGATTTATAGACAAGCCCTGAAATGATTGGGCTCGATGCCTGAATTATAAATGGCTTTATTTCATTTTTTGATAAAAGAAATTCTTGTACTCTGATTTCGTGTAAATGCTGCAAATTATCATTTACTAAGTTTGTCTCTTTCCATTTTGAATTGAATAAGAAAAATGTGGACATGAGAAATTGATTTCAACTTTAAGCCTTTTTCTTCCAACAGTTGCAGCAGCTTCTGCCGACACGACATCCTGTGTTACGTATTTACTTGGGACACCACGACTGAAGAATGTCGTATTTTGACGTCTTTGGACCCGACAAAGCCTCGGGTCCCGGCCCCTACAACTCTCGAGACGTACTACCTCACATCGGACCCACAAGGTTACAATCCCGGACTTCTAACCTTCATCGGTCTCCACATTGATCGTTGGACCGGAATCCGTCAGCTTTGTAAAAACCGAGGAGGTGACTTAGCTTCTCCCGTCAACACGCAATTTGCTTACATGCTGTACGTTGTGACGAACGCCACTGACATTGCTGTGGGCGTTACTCGTAATACCACTACCCAAGTACTTTACGACATTAATAATCACGAGTACAATGTCTCCAGCTGGGATGAGGGTGAGCCAGACGTTCCTGGACAGGGCAATATTTTTCTTAGGAGAGGCAAATTTTGGGACATCAATAACGCGAACAGGACATATCATGAAGTCCCGTGCCGTTTGCCATGAAGGTTTAATGTTGATTCAAAGGCCGAAGAACGAATTTATTCAACGAAAATATCATTGAATTTAATTGAATAAAATTTGGGATCTTGACAACATCTCAGAAGAGCGGTAAAAACGTTTATCAAAATTAATAATTCTAACGATAACTTTCCGCCTTCGTTTTAAATTGAGCCACTAATTTGAAACTCAGGCAATGCGCTGTTTTAATGAATGTATCCTTATAATGGCAAACCAATGCAAAATACCGGAAGTATTTTCAAGCAATGCGTAGATGGCTTTGAAAATAATTATAGTAAAATATAACTTGCGCATTTTATGAACAAAAAGATGCGAATGCGCGCATCATCGACACCAGATCATTTGGGCTCATGGCAATTATTCCAGATCGTCGTTTTCTGCTCTTGTAATATGGGTAGGGTTTGTCTTGTGGAATATTTACGGGAACACAAACACTTTTGTTTTTCCTCTACACTAACGCATGAATATAATATTGGTTGATTATTATTTATTGGTAAATTAATTTATAGACGTGGATGAAAATGAAGCAGAAGTGAATGCTGATGAAGTTATATTTGCATGGCCGTTAATATTATTTTTGTTAAATTTAATGTTATAGTTTCCAGCACTGTTAGGTTGCACTTGCAGGCAGTAGTTTAGTTTACGATTGTTTACTGGTAACGATCTCCTCCCTTGGGCTAGAAACTTAGACATGTATATAACATTGTAGTGAGGTTGCCTACTGATCGTTGATATCGCAAATCACCGTTCTTGAATGATCGTTGATATTATGCGTCAGGGTTCTAAACTCAACGTTGATATTGCGAAACAGGGTTCTTAACTGATCGTTGATCTTTCAAGTCCGGCTGTTAATTGATCATTATTATTGAGCATCAGGGTTCTTAACTGATCGCTCATGCTGAACGGTGGGGTTGTTGACTGAAAGATGATGTTCATCGTTTACTAATTGTTGATGTGTTACTTCAGGGTAATTATAACTAATAATCAATGTTGGTCATCCTTGTCGTTAACGAATCATTCATGTCACGCACGACTGTGGTTTAGCGCACGTCGATATTGACGAGGCCGTTGTCGGTGCGGTCGGCGAGGGTGGCCAGACCGTCGGCCTGCACCTGACGCGTGTCCGAGCAGCCGCCCGTAGCGGTCCAGTGCCATGTCCAGGTGCCCTGACATGACCACGACAAGAAGTTAAATCAAAATCGTTCTCTTATCAAAATAAAACACTATAATAATCTGATATAAAGTAAAATTATCCTAAAATAAATGAGAAGTAAAATGCAATCCAACGTTTTTCCTATCAAATTCATTCATAAACAACCTTAAATAAAGTATCATTATTTCGAAAATTACAGAGTAAAACTTCAACCAAATGCGTTTTCTTAACAAATTGAACATATATAATAACTATATATACATCAGTCTCCCCCTAAAATTCCCCATTCCCCGAGAAAAAACGTTAAATCAACTGAAAATTTCGTGTTAATTTTAAGCGCTATAATAACCTTATTTAAAAGCACCTGTTTTTCACATATAAGGACTTGGAGTTTAAACTGTATATAACTTGACACTTGAAATTAAAATATTCAAATTTCACATATCACTGTACCGTGTTCATATTTTAGTATATATAATATTATAAGTAGTATTTATATTATCAGTCTGCTTATATCGCAAGTTCATCAGGAATTTAAAAGCAAAGAAAACACCAAGCAAATTCACCATATCGATATTGTCAATATCGATATGGTGAATTTGATTGGTATTTTCGTTGCTCTTAAATTCACATAATATTTCATCGTTATTATAAATATATAACTCACCGCGTAGCCATGGCTGATTCATATAATATTATATCATTATAATACATATATAACTTACCGCGTAGCCATGGCTGATTCATATAATATTATATCATTATAATACATATATAACTTACCGCGTAGCCATGGCTGTAGGCGTAGTTGTGGAGGTCGGAGAGCGGCGTGTTGAGGGAGCAGACAGACGCGAACTCTCCGATGACGATGGGGCGGTCGAGCTTGTAGTCCGAGGCGCTTACCTGAGAAACAAATATGAAGTAAAACATAATATTTTGTTCACAGGAATAAATTTAATATGATAGTTAAACAGATCATTGCATTATTTATTTAAAGGTGGCCATGCGTTATTTTGGAATGCCAGATGAGTTTTTCATCACTAAATCAACTTTGAAACTCTGGACCTTAAATGATTGACTTTTCGCTACCAAAATCATTCGAAAGATTTATCGCCACCAGTTCAAGTTCTTATGAGTAGAAATTTCTCATATCTTGATGTACTGTAGTGTCAATAAATGTTATATAATTGAAGGTTATTTCATTCTCATCACTAGATCATTAGAACAAGACATCAATAGACGAGGTGTTATCCTCGGAGGAACGTATATATAAGGTTGTTCTGTACGGATATTCAATGAAAAATTAGTCTCGATAATGACTAATTTTTTATACAAGAAAATCATCACTCCTGGTGTACAATTTTTTTCAACTTGAATTCTTTATATATGAGTTAAATATAATTTTACTATACATTACACTCAGAGAAATGAAGAAATGAGTGAGACTTTATCCAAATATCGATACACTTCATACCCCAGAGCAGGTCATCAGGATTCAATTTGGCCAGACAAACTAGCGTATCAGTGCTTCGTCCGCACTCTGTTAGTGCTAAGGAGGTCATTTGTGTCAGTCTTTGTACAGTGTGTCAGTATTTGTGTAGACAGTGTGTCACTATTCGGACAATATGACACATTCTAGATAACTGGATTCTAACTGACAGTGAAAGGAGCATTGGGGCTCCAGCTGCTGCCCCAGTCGTAGGTGTGCATCTGATAGAAGTCGAGCTGGGCACCTGACCCAGCTGCACCGTTCAGGCAGGCATCTGAGTAGTGATTCTTGGTGTTCGAGAACGCGTCCGACTGGGGGAACTGGCCTGAGAAGTAGAGGAAAATACGCGTCGGTTATGTGTTGTTTTTAGGTGAAGATTTATTTGAAAACGCGTCTGTTTAGGAGAACTGGACTGTAGAATCAAATTGGACTTTTCAGGTATATAACTTGATCACTTTTTAATTCAGTAAGACCGGTGGATATGTCACGTAAGGGGTAAATTATATTAATATGAGTGTACCAGGCATTTAAATGAATTTATCATGTGTTATTCCATTAAAGAAAGTATACGTCCGTCCGACTAAGAATAACATTACTTTTATTCAAAGTACCTCCTTATTTCGTATTTCATTTATATTTTCATAAACCGCGTAGAGTTTGAACTCACCCCACGAGCCGAGAGTAACCAGAGCTGAGGGGTCGTTTTGCTTAATAACGATGTTTTGTTTGCCGATGAAAGTCAAGAATCTGATGGAGAGAAAGACAATTAATTATTCATGCAATTATGACCACGAAAGAAAGCCTTTTTCACACGTTCGCTACTTCATTTAAGATATTTTTTACAATTGGGAAATGGTTAATTCGATATTTTTAGTCTTTTTCATTTCATTTGAAATAATTTACAATCAATCTAGAATAATTTAATCTATTAATAATATTACTATGATCTCTAACAGCCCACACCTCTCCATAGGAATGCCCACACCGGTCCAGCCAGCACCGGACTGCCCGATCACTGTCGTGTCGTAGCACGAGTTGCTGTTAGACTCCACCTATAGGGATGAAAAATTAGCTCTGAACTAAACGGGAGGGGAATATCATAATATGTCCTTCAGCCTAACGGGATGAGAATTTATCCTTCAAGTAAACGGGATGAGAATTTATCCTTGGACCAAACGGATTGAGAAAATATCCTTCAAAAGAACGGGATGGGAATTTATCCTTCAACTGAACGGCAAGAGAATATATCCTTCAAATGAACGGGACCTGAGTTTATCATAAATGGGTGGAATGGGAATTCATCCTCGAAACAAATGTTGATTTATTCGCTCATGTTACACTATTGAGAAGTTGCCGCAAGATGCTTTGTAAAAGCTAATTTGATCATCAAGACTACTTTATTATTTTGTTCTAAATAAAACTAATTAATATCTTTAGGTCTCAAGGATGGAACTCTAATAAAATATCTCACCCGGACGGATCCCTCTGGCTCGTTGATGGCTTCATAGGCTGCAAGAGCTGGATGACCGCTGAGCGCAGAAGCTAGTGGCTGTTGACATAAAATTTGTAATATTTTAGCTCTAAATAGAAATTTTTGTAATGCAGCAATCTCTTCTTAGAAAATGTTGTAATGAAGTAATTAATCTAAAAGTAAATACATGGAGCAGACGCGTTTGTTAGCGTGCAAAGGAATTGTCGGAATGTATATTTTATTTCTATTTAGTTATTTAGCTCTTCGTTCACAACCTTATTTCTCAATACATGAAACATTATAATAGGATATTTTATGAACAAAATTGAGGTCTCACTTAATCAAGGCAGCCGTGATTGCGTTATAACGTTGTAACGATCTTTCTCCGGATACGCAATTTTTAATATTATTTCTCAACCCAAGGTCCTGATAAATTGAATAACTATTTGCTAGCAAGGGGGTTGAGATAAGCTTTCTAACCCCTGGAAAGCAAAGAGGTTAGATGAGATATGGGATACAGCCTATAAAACATATAGGTGGTTGAAATGAGCAACAGGCAATCCTCTGAAAAACATAGCAGTTTGGGTTGAACTAAAGGTGCCCCCTATAAAACATAAGGGGTTGAGATGAACTCGAAGTATAAGGGCCGTACGATCAAAACTCGCTCAAGGACAATTATCGGCTTATTTCTCGTCTGTGATCAGAGTGTTTAGTTAGAAAAACTGTTGGTGATTGGCCGACGGAATAACGAACTCGTGACTATTTTTGATAGTACGGTCCGCGGTAGACAAATTGGGTTAATTAAGCTGAGCATGACTGGGCAGGGTACGTGGCCCGCCGCCCATGTGGTTAAAGTTCAGAGTACCAAGGTTGGAGTAGCGAGCTACGTGTTCGATTCCAGATTCCTGTGACAGTTCTGGTCAAATCTGCGAGGAGACTGGGCGGTAAAGCACAACAAAATTGCACCAGTGAGTTGTGTTTGAGACCCGAAAAAAGCTGTAAGTATTCTGCGATTCTCAGAATCAGCGACAGGTCTAACGGCTTAGTCAACGCTGGCACCGTTAAACTATACAATATCATGACTCACCGCGAGGCAGTTATCAAGGTAGGTCTGCAGTTTGCTGTCGTCCCAGACCAGGTTGATGTAGGCCTGGTTGCCCATCACGGCGCCGTTCCAGAGGGTCAGAGTGACGAGGATGTCGTTGGCCTGCGCCGCGTCAAGGAATTTCTTGACATCGTTGATGAAATCTCCGGTGCGGTCGCACGCGGTCACGTAGCCGTCGCTGTCGAAGTTAGGTGTGCTGTAGCCCTCGACGTGCACCCAAATTCCTTAACAAAATAGACTTAAATATTAATTATTGTAAACTTAAGCTATTTAAAATTGAAACTAATGAATAAAATATAAATTAAATTAACAACAAAATCTAGCTTGATTCGAGTTGTTCTTCTCATTTGTTATGTTATATATTAAGATGCAGTAGTAAACAAGGTCAACAAATGGATGAACATTAACATAAATACGAAGTTCAATGATATTTGAAGTTGCATCCGAGATTGATTGCATTTGCGCTCAGTAAATCTCTGATCTGAACACATGTACGCCGAAAATCAACATCAGCTTAACTTCACCTGGGACTATTGTACCCATATCCTATAATTAATGTACTGACCATGCCATATGCAAAAGATAATACACGAAAGAAGTTTTAAAAGTTTGTTGTTACAAGCAATCCAAAACACCTATAAGACGGAAAGAAAAACTTCCTCTGTTCATTTCGATTGAAAAGATCGAGTTAAAAAAATCATACAGTAAGAACTATATTGATAATGGAGAATGTTTTTTTTTACTCACGGAAGGAGTTTCCACCGGCAGCTTTGACTTCAGCGAGCCAAGTCTCGAGGCTGCCGTCGTAGCCACCGTTGCCGAAGTCATAGCCATAACTGTTCCACGCAGCGTTGGCGCCGCTCAAGTATACCTTTTCACCGCCGTACATCAAACTGCTTCCAGAAACCTGTGATAATTTGCAAGAATTTTAGCTACAAAATTCAGAGACAGAATTTTTGTGCGATACTACAGAATGCAGTGAAACTGGCGCGTAAACATCTTCATCTACGGTAAGTGAGAAAGCAGTGCTTCGGACGAATAAAACAGATAAAATATAATTGCTCGCGTACAATAAAACAAAAATTTTTGTCAAATAACAACTGTAAAATGAGAACATACTAAAATTATCAGAAATTATTGACGATGAAGACGACTGCCCTTTAACTAAAGACTAGCAATAAGTTAGGTTTTGCTATTACGTACGGTAAGTTTGACGGCAGAGGCTGAGGCCGCTAGGCAAGCGGCGATTATCAGGAAAGCCTTCATCTCGCCTGTCTGGTCTGAACTCGAAACTTTAGTCTTCGACTGCAGCTAACGACGAGTAGAGATATCGGGCAAGCTGTTAGTGCTGGGACTGGCTTGAGACGTGGTCATTTATATACTTTGAGTTGAGGTATATATACACGAGTACTTCAAAGTTCAACACAATGACGATAGCGTTGTGGTGTTGTGGAACCGTGTGCCGAACAACAGCTGATGCTTGGGAACCACTGGAGTTGCACTGGTGTCGTGTGATAATTAGGTACGTAGAGTTGTTTACCACTTACATTTATGTTACATGTTATGCTATTTTATTTTTCTTGAGGTGTACTTAGGTTTTGTTCGATCCAAACGAAAGTGTCTTACTCAGAAACAAATGAACCTTCATCAATTTCTTGAGCTCTTTGAGCTTTGTTTCTTAATCATTAACTGAAAAGCAAGATCAAAGCTTGAAATCAGCTGCTTGATACTGTTGACGGAGCGTCTCTCATGGGGAAAGTTCTGATGTTAGAGTAAATTTATAAAAAATATAAGTTTATAAGAAGGTTTGGCAGTAAACTTCATTTATTCATTCATGGATTCATTGATTTCAATGGAGAGATCCGAAATGGGATTTTGACGCACTTTGGTGCCTTAATAACTAAATTGGAATGTGCGATATTTTAAAAATTAATATCAATCGATAGCAGGAGCGAATAGATTATTTAAAAAAAAAAACAAGCTATAATACTAATTTTGAAAACGATTTAAAACTATTTTGAATTGCGCTGTCACCACGTTTAAAACTGACGAGGTATGTAGGTAGTTTCAGGACGATCGCAATCTTGCATTGAGAAATCTGCTTCAAACAACAGCTGCTTCTCTTATATCTCTGTAGCGGCCTTCAGTTTTCCTCGATAACTGCACAGTCATGTGATTACTGTCAACTCTGCAGAAAAATGTTTATTTCATTGAGTATTGCGATATTCGTATTACACACAAGTTTCGGTAAGAAAGAACTCAACTGTTTACTTATCGTTATATGTATGCTAGGAAAAAAGGTCGAAGTGGAAGAATTCTAATGATATGAGTTTTTCTTTTTTTCCAACGTTACTGCAGGTCAGTGTCAATTTAGATGTAATTTTTTCCTAATATTTCTTTCCTGTTTGATCTGTCCGTTTTATAATAATTTTTATATGTCTAATACAAATTATCTCAATTTTGTTTCTCGTGTCAAGTTTTTTCCAAGTACCTACATTCTTGAAATAATTGTGATTATATAACCTAGGTACACTTGCTTGGCTATGAGCGTTTGTCATGTATTGCTGAACAAATATTGACTCACAGTGAAATAAGAAATAAGATGGAGTTATTGCAACGTCAATTCAACACCAATATATAAAACAGGATGTGGATACTGTAATTACAGTTGTGTGAAAATCACTGGAATAAAAATGTACTTTAGCTGCTCTTTCAGTGGTGTTAACTTACGTTAATCGGTGCGTTCTGATGAAGAAAGATTGAAGATTATAAAGCTTCCCAGTCTCCGTTATCGTCGCCTGCGTGGTGATCTCATTGAAGTATTCAAGTATACTCATGGTTTGTACAAGGTCCCAGAAGGATTACTAGAATTTGAAACAAGAACCTACACCAGGGGTTACCGACATGTGGAACAGCCTCCCTGAAGATATTGTTGACGCTCCGAGTATGAACGCGTTCTAGAACAGACTAGACAAGGCCATGCAGGAGCATATGTTTAGTCTTGAAATGCCTCGTATCCTACGGAACAACTGACATCTAGAAACGATTTTAAACCTACCGTCCGTTGAAAATATTTGATCAAAAGACCAGTCTAGTCAAGAAAATAATAAGAATCGACAACATGCCTTTTCTTCAATGCCGAAGATACTATACAGTCTATACTATACTATACAATGTACTCGTATGTTCCTTCCACCGGAGAATCTTCCTTTATGACCTACATACTGCACACGTTCATTTTGATCGTTGCCAAAAGCGCAGAGAGTATCATGTGAGCTTCGTAAATGTGACAATCAACATTTTATCTTGTATAATGCAATTTAACACTGGTGTAACAGCTCTGATTAGGCCACATTTACTTGTCGCCGATTCTCAACCCCTGATCTTGTAATCCAATCACGATAATCTTGACCACTAGGTAACCTCAAGCTGCAGCAATAACTTATAATATGATAAAATTATATTTAGAGCTGCAGCTACGTGACAATACAAAGCGTAGCTTTCTCTTCGTGGTGTGAATTGAAGTTCCGTTGTATTTTTCATTTCCTATAAATAAATCAGTTGATTAATTAGCAAACCATACAACAGGAGAGCCTTGTTATTTCGAATGACAGAGTTCTTGAAATTGCAGAATAGTATTTTGGAAACTGTTGCAATTAGTCGGTTAATGAGACCTGAGAGGAATCGGGATTTTTCGTAATGTGATTCGAATTACCAGATTTCCAAGATTGAGACAGGTGCCAAATTTCTGAACAAGAAGGAAGCACGCCATTCCAAAGTCTGCAATAATGATCAATCGAGTTGCGTCAAATGGCGCTACATTTTCTCATTTTTGTTACATTGTCTTTTCCTTCACGAAGACTGGCGAAATACCAAAGGAAAAGTGCACGAAATTATTTTCATCGGACACGCCCTTATTTGATTTAGCAATAAACATTCGCCATTTATACGTAATGTAGAATGAAAACCCCGATCCATTACTTAACAAGGTATGGTATTGCAAACTGCAGCAATTATAGAGCTCACTACTCTGCCGTGTGGCTGCATTGGACTAGTCTTCAGAGGCTCCCGTAAATCCCGAATGAAAAATAAAAAAATATAACTCGGTACTCACTGCAGTGAGTGGCAGAGAGAGCATTTTCTCGCCGACGAAAACCTAAAGTCACGGACGGACTGACAGACGGACGGACATGCCGAGCACAATAGGGCATTTTTCCATAAATGAGAAGATGCGCTAAAAATGGTACTGACAAACGCTGAGCCGTTATCATTTCGAAAGCACTCCAAAAATGTACTTTCTCTGATTCAATAATTATACTTTCACTCGCACTTCAATAGATTCATCATACTAGTATTTTTTTATCCCCCTTCCACCGTGGGGATAAAATCCACCTCATTCCAGTGTGATCATCACTAGGGTCTTAAGAGATTGTTTAAGACCGGAATCCCAGCAGCCAGTGGTTTAGGTGTTGTACTAAAGCTAAACGATAGACTTGAGTTTAGCTTCAATAATTTTTATAAGGAAATTGACGTACTTGGGGAAAATGATATTTTTGGGAATCAGCTGGCCAACTGAATTTGCACTCATTACGTTAGCGATAGAACGATGTAAGTTTTAACTCACTGATACGTAGTCAAGGGATCATTAGTATATTCTAGTAAGGTTTCTCCTTCGGCTGTTGTTCGCTTTTTTAACACGAATATCCTATCAACTTATTTATCATACAACCTATTTAACAACTGTCTAAAATAATTCAAGTCTAATTTGCAAATTTCGAGTTATTCTTGATTTATTCGTCAATAATTCCTTCCACAACATCGGAGCTTATTTCATTCGAGTTCAATCTTCAAATAAATGCAGGACGGAACAGGCAAACTTACTCTATTAATAAGAACTAAGAACCAAATAAAATGTTGAGCAACAGATTCAGTAATTTATTTAGTACAAAAATGAACACCAGTCCCACCGTAAGCTATTGAAGAGATAATTCGAAGACAGTCATCACAAACGGCTAAACCTTAACATTACGAAGAGCCAAGCTATCCGTTAAATAACAACAAATATTAAAATGTCTACCTAAATTTTGTCTGTGAACGTAAACAAATTCTGCGATAAAAGTTAAAATAAAAACGGCATACACGTCTCAACTAAAAGTACAACAGAATACATTCCAAATTTAATCCATGAAAACATCATAATAGATTTACACAGGAAGAATACCAATCAAATTCATGCTGCAAAACAGGGGCAACAGGAACACAGATTTGTAGTAATTACAAAATATTAGCCAAGTAAAAGAGCAACAGAGAGCATTTCAAGTACATCTTATCAGGAATGAACTTTGAGCTGCTCTATCTCTGATAAATTACTTATTCAGAGACAGAAAATTAAAAATATTAATTTTTATTGATATAGTGCGCATTTCGAAAAAATTGCATTCATGAAATAGAATCCCAGCAAATGCTTACGCTCATTAAAAAAATATACAACAAAACAATCTTCATACCTCTCAATCTTTATGTTCTAATGACACAGATCAAGACTGCCATTGCAAAATATATCAGGAGTACCAATAATGAAGGCTTACAGAACCCAATATCTTCAGTTATTACCAACTCCTTATGAGGATTCGCCACGGACCAATTAAGTTATCTCTTTCAAGAAAATCTTAGAATCACAACAAATCTGAGTTCAGTTTAAAAATTTACTTGCATTACGAAAAACAAATCAGAGAAATTTATTTTAGACTTCACTTTGCGATTGATACTTGAATCAATTTACAAGACCTCGAGGAACAATATTAGCCAATATTAAACGAAATTGTGGCGATGAAATGATTGCTATATATTGAACTTAAAGCCATGAATAGAACATCAAAATTAATATATTCCAGATTTATTAAGCAGAAAACGTTCAAAAGATAATGGCCGATAAACATTGCGCACAAATGAATTGTAACTCAAACGTCGATGTGAGTTACCAGTAAGTTAATCTTATTATCTATGTCTGGCGCCCATGATGTTGACCATCCTGCCGTTATATTTACTGCCGATGGCGTCCTGCAGTTGCGACACGAAGCTTTTAGCGGCCGTCTTGGTTTCTCCTATAAATTCTGTCTGGCGCCCATGATGTTAACCATCCTGCCGTTATATTTACTGCTGATGGCGTCCTGCAGTTGCAACACGAGGCTTTTAGCGGCCGTCTTGGTCTGCTGCAGCTTCTTGGTGAGCTGCTGCTGCTGCTCCTGCGCGTGCTGACGTCGCTGCTGCAGTGTAGCCAGCGTCGCAGGGCACACGACGCTGCGCTGCTCCAGCTTGCGTAGCGTCTCCGTTAGCCGGTCAACGTATCTGCGTTATGAGGTTATTAGTTCATATTAACATCTCGCACAACAAACAGCTTACACACAGCAACGTACTGCAACACACTGCAAGATACTGCAACATACCACATCATAAACAGCCTGCTCAGGACAATATCCTTGTACTCAATGAACCTTCACTGGAAGCAGTTATTATTTCATACTAATATCTCGCATCACTAACAACACTCACTACAATGTGTTCCTCGATGGACCTTCGTAGCAAGTTTTAGTTTGCTCTGGGAGATTACTGCAGCCAAGAACCTCGATTTACTTTTAGTGATAAACTGCATAACCGCTGCTGCATTGATGCCATTAATTTATTTTTATATAATAATTCTAAAAATCAGGCTTTTAGAACAAAAATTACGGTTATGTTCTTCCAACCGATGAGAATCATGTTATCTGCCTGCATAGTTTAATCTTATTTATACTGATGACTCATGTCATTATTTTCAGAGAGACTCATCTTATTCTCACCGGTGACACTCATCTTATTCTCACCGGTGAGACTCGCTGATCAGAAAGAGCTGCAGGATCTTGGGCGTGGTGAGATCTGCTATGATTTTCTGCACAAGCTTCAGCTGCGACTCAATCGTGCTGGCCGTGACCTAAAGATCAAAACATTGCTCAGAAAATTAGGTAAGCTCATAGTTAATTTAAGTTACTGACATGATTTATAAATATTTAAGCAAACTTTAAGTGGTTTTTAGCAAGTTATAACTGTCAATGTTCGCATGTTAAGCTCTGGAATCTATCCTCCCTCTAATATAGGCACATCATCCGCACATGTAACTCTTTTACAGAATATCAAACACGAGTAACAACATACACAAATGTTTTTTGCACGGCATTACTTATCTATTACTGATGCTGCGAGCTGTTCTCACCACCATAAAGGCCCTCCCCTTTAAGATCCACCTATCACCGTGTGTTGCAGCCTCCCTGCACCACCCACCACCATAGTGCAGCCCCTCTGCATCACCCACCACCATAGTGCACCACCCAACCCCCCACCACCCACCATCTGCAGGTTCTTGGGGGCGTCATCCCAGAGGTTGAGGGCGACGAGGCTCTCCTCGGCGCTCGTCATCTCCACGAGCCTGTACCCCAGGAACGCCTCTAGCTGTAAACAAAAAATAATTCTTAACGAGGATTTAGATAAATGTAAAATCAAAAAATATTGTTTGTACAAAGGAATTATAAGGGTTGACAAATGAAAACAAACATTCGTCAATTACTCAATTTGTACTTAAAAATGTAAAAATGTTGCCGATAGTAAATGGAAAAAATTTCAACACAATTCGTCTTGAAAATACATTAACTAGGAGATAATTTCTCAAATAAAAATAAATTATATTTTTCCAATTTTCACAGAAATAAGTATTTGGGACTGCATTAGACAAGAATTTTAAAGATTACATTGAACATTTGATAAACGAGGAAATGTAGAGAAATAGAAATATATCATCATTTTATGACTAAGAAAGTGGGTTTTATCAACTTGACCTGAAATGCACCAGGGTTATGTAGGAATAATTATACTATTTAATGCTACAAACATACTCGTTGGTTGTATTCCATTCCTTGGCGCCCTCACCTCATATAGGTTAGCGAGAATCCTAACCCTGGTTGAGGGGTTGAGAAGCAGTGATAAGGCTTCTGAACCTCTGGCCACTCCACCAGAAACTCCACTCGCCTCCACTGTAATGTCGGCCTGAAAACACAGAGTTGGTGCTTCAATTATAGCTCATCAAACTGATTTCATCTACACTAGTTATACTGAAAAGAAAATATCAGCACCGTCAAGTGGGGTGACTTTGGCCACCACTACAACAGAAAAAAGTAACAGCAAAACAAAATAATAAACGTTGGCCAAAGTCCAAAGTCACCCCAGTCACTTTGGCCGTCAACCCACTTGACGGCACTGAAAAATTCTGCAAGGGCTTTGTCTTTTTTATGTTTCGTGAAAATCATTCAGGAAACAGCCGTCTTTTATGGATTGACAATAAATTTAACACGGTTTGATTGATTTATCTCGTCTATCCGGATTCAATACAAGAAATTCTACATAATATTGAACTTTCGGGAACAAAAGAATTACTATTTTCTGTGAATGACAGCGTGATCGTTAGATATTCATTGTATAACAACAACATAAAGAAGACAATTATAATTAAACTATTAGACGTACGATGTCTGCAGCGCTCCAGTCGATCTGTTCTGCATCGCCCAGTTTGATGTCACTTGTTTGGTGGTCACCAAAATCTATTTCACCGCCGTCATTATCCCCAAAATCAATGGCACCATCTGCAATTTAAGAAACTTGATATTCCAACACAGAAGGTGGTTATTTTTATTAATATATATGCATAAAATTTTACCCTCAAGTTGAGTACAATAGTGGACTGCTTTAAAACACTCATGAAAAATAAGTAATCAGTTGCTTTCTGATTGAGCTATGTAACAACATTGCAGTGGATCCTGTAACTTACCTGCAGCACTGTTGCTTGTTAATTCAATGCCACCAGCATCGGCATCACCAAAGTCAATGCCACCAGCATCGGCATCACCAAAGTCAATGCCACCAGCATCGGCATCACCAAAGTCAATGCCACCAGCATCGGCATCACCCAAGGCGTCTCCCTTGCTTTGCTGTGTAGAACTAAGGAGGGAGTCCAAGGGGCTCTCAATAGACAGAGGCTCTTCGCCATGAAGGTATTGGTAGGTAGTCACATCTCCATGCTCTGGAGAAGACAAATTCATTAAGATTCAACACAAAATAATCATATACACTGGAATTAAAATAAAATAGCCTCATCCCTTCTATCCCAGATATTGCACGATTTAAGATGCTTACAGCAAACGCAACGGCTAATTACTTACAGTGCTTATTTTCTGAGAAGAGCAAAATTACACTTAGTATATGATTAAAAAGTAATAATAATTGATGGTACATCAAGAGAACACATATTGCTTTGTTCAATGCTAGAATGGAAGGAAAATGACACATTAAAAAGAGTACAAAATTTTGTCAACTAACCAGCAATGTAAAGCAGCATAGTTAGGCTGTCCTGGTATTTTCCATCACAAGTGAAAGCAACAAAAGAAAGGTAGAACTTAGCAGCACTTGACACTTCAGAAAAAGTTTGTCCTATACGCTTCAATTCAGCAGGCAGCTCTTTGAGCTGATCTATGAGTTCTCTCCTTACCTGAAAGAAAAAATTTTAAATCAGTCACAAAAAATAGTATACCTATATAAACAGAAATTCCTTTGGCTTGAATACTGACTTGTGGTACCTCAATGGCTTATACTAAAGGAGTTTGGTAACTATTATGATAAACAATGATGTTAACTCTAACCTTAAAAGAAAAAGGCATAAGATAATTTAAAAATTTTAATTAAATTTGGTAATAATTTGAAAAAATTACTTAGAATTATATCTAATAGCAGAAAGAGATATTCTTTATGGTTTTGACTTAAATAAGTTAAATAAATAAAAACTAACATCAATGCCCTCAATGCCCAGCTGCTTGCACTGTCTCTGGTAGGCCTTTTGTGAATTCTGCGCCATTTTGTGCAGGTCTGCTTCTCTTTTGTCACACTCCTGGAGTAATTAGATAAAGAGTTACTTTAATTTTGGAAACACTAGGAAACCAGAAAGAATTTAATGGTATTTGAAATAGAATTGAAAAGCTACATTTCTGTCACTACTAAAACCAACATATAAATATAAATAAAGTAAAACAATTTCAAATAGGAATTTTAGAAATTTTGAATATCTCTGTTCTTGTTCAAAATAAGCAATGCATGGAGGAGGAGAAACAAAGCAAAAATTTAATTAACTAGAATCAAGTTTTTTCATTAAATTTGTACAAGAAGTTGGAAATTTCTATGGTCTTACAATTTTGATTCCAACTTCAATAAAGACCAGGAAGATTAGATTTCTGATGACTTATATACCTGCTGAATTTGAGTGCAGCGACTCAACTGCCCCTGAATACCAGGTATTTCATGAGCAATATACTGATGCAGTAAATGGCCGCTCTCAGCAAGATATGCTCCACCTTTCTCGTACTGCTTCACCACAGCTTGCCAGTCCTATGATTCACATGAAAATTATGAATAAAAAGTTTTTTAAAATTAGACAAGAATGATATTTTTAATTTGTAAGTAGTCATTTTATTTTACAAGCTAATAGAGATAAACAAGGACATTTATTTTCATGAAGCCTTGTGACACAAAATACAGTTCTCAGTTCCATTTAATTTGGCAAACTGAGAACAGAACATTAGAAGCATATAAGAATCTCAAAAATTCAACAAGAGAACTATTGTATTTAATGATTACATTATTACTGGGTAGTTCTAGAATCCTTTTAGAACTACTAAAGCAAATTGACTGAATTGAAAACAGACCTTCATTCGTTGTGATGTGTACCATCCCAATATATTTTTGGAGTCAGCTTCTGTTTGTTTGAGAATTTTTACAATTTTTAAACAGTGAAAGTAGTTGATATCTGAGGAATGAGAAAATCTCATATAAAAATAAGAAAATATGTAGAGTACAGCTAGAGAGCAAAGTACATACAAGCATAAATACACATGTACATGATACATAACTTGCATTTGAGCTAAAAGGCCATTTTTAATTCTCGGAACAAAATACATTATGCATTTAAATTTCTTTTGAGTTCATGTAATAATGATAATCAAGAACAAAATAATGGACTAAATAAATGTTTAAATTAAGGATATTTTCAATTTATTGCAAAATTTCATCATAATTTTCAAGTAGAATAAGCAACAAAAATTCAAATAACATTGAGAGCATCATTTTTTTTCATTATTTATACACAAATGAATTAAAATTTATCCTTGAAATAAAAAGAATAAAGTTTAGGGAATATTAGTTTTAATGAAAAAATAAACTACTTACATGTTCCTGACAGAAGTTTAAGAATTTCAGGATGTTCTGGCATGTCTTGAATGGCTGCATTAATTTGCTCTCGGACAACCCGTGTAGTCTCTGCCCAGTCTTTCTTGGCATGCTGACGTGATACTATGAAGTGCACCAGCTTGTTTAGATGTATATCAATGGGAAGCTCTTCAACCTGTCAAAAAATTGTCATTAGCACAAATAAATACATTGATCATTCATTAATTTAAAAGTAATCTTACACATTAACCTCAATGAGTGAAAATAAAATTTACTCAGCAAAAAATTACTAAGCTGATAAACTCCAAGTCTTGAGAAACAAGCAGCAAAAAGTAGGAACAGATTCAAGCCAGCCAAAGGAAATACTCACCTTGCATCATGAAGCCCAAGCTATAGGTAATTAGTAGTGTCATCAAGTAGCTAAAATGTATGCAGGTTATCTTTCATTCTATCCAGTCTTGTAATGCACTGAATACTCTGGCTAGACCAATGACAGTTTATAAATGATAGTAACTACATGCAATACATGTTGACATTTTAATGTGGATGCAATTTATAAACATGACCTCATGACTGCATTGAACCAGTACAAACGACAATTTTATGAAAGTTTCTATATATTGAAAGTATAATATTTGATGCTGGATGAAAATTTTAAATTTATTGAAAAATCATCTAATAACGATTTGCTAAATTCAGAATCTAGACTATAAAATAAAAATTCAGATGATATTTTTAAAACACAAAAATTAAAAAATGTCAGGAAAACTCTAGTCATTGCTTGTAACTGGCAAGGGTTATATCTACCATATTAAGCTGTAACTTAAAGCTTTCCTGCACTTTTAGAGCTGCAAAATTCCTGCTAGAACATAGATAAATTATCTCCTGTTTAGGCTGTTTAACTGCTAATGAAACTGCATGATTGGGCTGCAAAATCCCACATTTATAAAAATTGGTCACTTCAGATTTTCAGAAGTTCAGAGCAGCAAGATTTCATTTTCAAGTAGCAAAATTTCAATCTAGGCTTGAAAGGCACCATATTCCATGATAATTGACAATGGTAGAAGAGCAATGCTCAATAGAAATACCTACAAATACTTTAAGGCTAATTTTAGAAAGACATACTTTTTAGCCATAAACCATATTAAAATATGTCTACAAAAAAACTAAATCTAATAATCTAAAAGCATACATTGATGTCAAGAGTCAGAAGATTTCTATAGATATACTTGTACTAACAAATTTTTTAGATATGATAAAAATCATAAAAACATAGTATAAATTAGTGTTCAGCTATGAAATTTCACAATTAATGAAATGTAGAGTTAAATTAATCCTGTCTTTAAATGAAAGGGTTAGGTTAAGTAATGTGGATTACTCATACGGTAGTCATACCTTAATAACCATATTATCATGAGGATCATGAGGATGTATCTTATAGGGTAAACGCGGTATATTCCGACATCGTAGGTAATTCCGTCACCTATCCAGCTTTTCCTTTATATTAAGCTTTGTTTTAGTTCCATGCGTTCATTGATGGTTGAAATGGTGACGTCATACATTTGCGTGTCGAAATACTGCAAAAACACTAGGTCTTGGCCAATGCTGACGCATAGTGAAGTGTTTTGAGAGTCATGTGAAGGCAACAGAACTTACGTAATGCATACGTTTTTTTAATAGTTTTTCATTTCTCGATGCGTCCCTAATGTGTCGGAATATACCGCGTTTACCCTTACATGACATGACATGACATGACATGACATGATTTTTTTCTTATACGTTCACATTATTACAAACCCTATGATACCTAGGTATGTAAATTAATATAATATATAAGCTGTCCACAATGGCACAATCCACATGACATAACCTACCTAGGCTAGTACATCGGCCATTACCTAGTCGTTACCAGTTTACCACTTACCAGTGTGTTTATTATTACGGTATTACCTATTACCTAATAGTCTAATACCTATATATACTTATTAGCTATACTATTTTGGATTGCCCGGCAGGCTGGCCATAAACAAATAAACCGTGTTAATTAATCTGCGTTAATAGAACCCAATAATTCACAGTAACAGTGCATTAATGATGATTATTATTATAAAAATAGAAACGTTGTCAAAACTTACTTCTTCATCCATAATGACGATGGTGCTTCAAGGACGATGATTATGTACTTATTTTAGAAGATAGTAACGACGGTTCACTGAAAGTATTCTGATTGGCAAAACAATTTGGAACCGCGACCTCTTCAGTCTTCAGAGTTCAGTCTTCTCTCTGTATCACAGTCACTCGAATATCCACTAAATTTCTTGGTCGCAGTTCCACAACTTCCACGCAAGTCTTCTTCTTCTTCTATCTGCTTTCTGAGGACTTGGTTCTTCACCACTCGCCTCACGTCTGGACAGGCAGCAAGGGTTTGGCCGCACAAACCTGAGGGCAAAGGCCCTGTCTCTTATACACATCTAGATGTGTATAAGAGACAGCTATACNTGGGGAGAGGAGATTACATCAGAATTAGGTATGATACTATGTTGCTTCTCAATTCCACCCAGATATTGTTTAGATGCAACACCTTGCAAGTGGACTGCAGATTCAGGTCTCTTGCCTGGGTTCTGGTTTTGGCAGCCAGTTGCTTTTCTCTTAACTGATTGGGATACAGTAGCTTTAAGCTGTGTATTTGAAAGAGCTGGTAAAGAAAGATCTTGAATGTAATCAAATACTTCTCCCATATCATTAACATTCTGATCTTCAAAGATAGACTCATCTGCCCAACTTGTCATAGAACTGCCTGGCAATGGCCACATTGGGCTCTCACTATCTGACAAATCAGGTCTCTGAGTCAAAGAGTCAAAACTTTTTATCTCAACCGAAGATTCAATCTGGCTATGACTAGCACTGGCAATAGGCTTGCCTTTATTTCCCTCAATACTGGAAACTAACTCTTCACCAACTGAGGCTCCAATTCCAAGTATATCAACATCTGACTGCACTGATCTACTAGTGCCAACTGTAGCCATCTGCGTTTCTGTTTGCCCGGCTGAGGTCGAAGACATCCTACAGAGCTCCTCAATCATGTCTCCCACTTGAGTTCCCTTCAGTCCTTTGGCCACTTCACTATCAAATACGTCTGTTAACTCCGCAAGCCCCGGTGAATTAGAATCCATGTTCTTATCCTACCCCGCGTATTTCTTATGAAGTCAAACAAATAATCTTATTTCCCCAAAAATAAACTTTTAATACTATTTCCGATGATTTATACTCACGATTTCCTTATATGAAATTATTTCACGAAACGAAACACACCATACGTCTTACCACTTTGACGGTTCGAACGGGAATGTTCCACGCAAGTCGAATTTGTGAACGTGAATCGGAACTGACATCCGCGCAGCAGGATCAAAAAATACTCCAGTTTTCTGGGGAATGTGCGGGACATTTACTATGAATATGAACTCTGATGAGAATAGAACCGTTCAACACAGGTGTGGTAAGGAGCAGGGAAGATATTTAGTGCGTGAGACTAGTCATTAAGGATACGTGGTCGTGATGTGTGCCACAGTGGGTGGCATGCCATTCACAGATGTGTGAAGTAATACATGCTCTCTCGACTGGGTAGTGAATTGAACTGACTCTTAATTTAAAACCGACACGCACGCGAACTGTACGAGTTCTGTACGAACTTGTATTAGAAATTATAACAAGTGGTAATTCCACTTTCTTGGCAATAATTATTGATTGATTTTCGCTTTCAGTGCATCATTCTTAAAAAACTTAGATTTGGATCAGTTTGTGAATTAAAAACCTAGAAACCTATCTGGAACCTCAAAAACCTAGATCTGAGTTTATAAACCTAGCGCTGGCAGCACTGGGCTACTACCTGAAGAGAGAAACTTGGTATTATTATTTGCTTCTAAAAAGAGTACGATTATGAGCCACGATAAATAGGTTAAATTTGCCTAAAAAGTCTATATACGCATTCGCTCATTATCGCCTGCCATTAGTTCGGAGTTATAATGTTCACAGTTTTCAGCAGTTTTCTGCGACTGTATATCTGCCACTTCCCAAAAAATCAACATCTCTGACACGTAAAAATGAATTTTGAGTTCACAATATACGTCTACTTATACCGGGAATAACACATTTCACAATTAATGAACCAATAGAAGAAATACATTAAGGATGCCAGCCGGAAGGGACTGCTTCTCCCAAATTCATTTCGTACTCCTTTCCGTAGTCAGGCAATTTAGAGAGCATAGTTATAGTAGCCCAAGAAGTAAAGTGATTTAGGACATATGAGACCTGAATCTACGGACACTACTAGAGATTGACTCATTTCAAGGCTAAGAGATTGACTCATTTCAAGGCTACCTTAACCACAACGCGGCCTTCTTCAAACTTACACCTACGTCCTACGCCACCTCAACCGAAACTTAACCGAACCAAACCTAATCTCATTGGCATTTGGAATCGACTTAAGGTGGCGAGACGGTATAAGTAAGTAGTTAGAGTGGTTCATTGGCTGCGAGACGGGAGAAAGTGGGCTGAGTATTGAAGTAAGGAGGCATTGAAGTTATTCGGTGAAGTTTGTCCTAGGCCTTGCATTTCATAACATAACATAGTGATGTCGGCGCTGAAGTGTAGGCCTGATGTGGCCTGTCGCCGATTCTTTTCCTTTTCGTGCCTTGTTCATAGATCTAAACTCATGTCATTTGACCGGATCTTTTCATGACTGACGATAGTTTGAAGTAGCTACTAGACTTCCACCGGGTTCGATAAGGAGCTAGGCATTTCAAATCTGAACATATATTTTTCCATAGCTTTATCTAGTCTGTTCTTGAACGCGTTCATACTTGGAGCT